TCATTGTCGTCCAGCACCAGGACTCGCACCAGCGCCTGGCTGCTGAGAGCTGGAGAGCCTTGATCTACAGCTTCCACGAGGAACTCAAAGCTCTGCAGGGCCTCATAGTCCAGCGCTCTGAGCACAAATAGCTGCCCATTGTCAGCGTTGATGGAGATGAGCGAGTCCAGGGCCAGCTGCGGGTCCTGGGGTGGCAGCAGCGAGTAGGTGATGTGGGCGTTGGAGCCAGAGTCCGAGTCTGTGGCTCTGATGGTGCCTATGTGCAGGGCGGGGCTGTTGTTCTCGCGGACAGACAGGGTGTAGGAGGATTGGGTGAAGGCGGGGGCGTTGTCGTTGATGTCGGACACCTGCACTGCTATGGTGTGCTGGGTTGTGAGCCTGGGTGAGCCCATGTCGGAGACGGAGATGGTGATGTTGTATTGTGCTCTTTCTTCCCTGTCTAGCGCTCTTTTTGTTACTAAACTGTAAAAATTCTTTCCAGAAGGTTTTAGAAGAAAGGGAAGGTCTTCCTGGATGGAGGAAATCACCTTTCCATTGTTCCCTGAGTCAGGATCTCGAACAGTAAAAACAGCAACTACTTCATCAGGGGAGTTTTCTGGCACTGGGCTGGTAAGCGCCGATACCATCACTTCTGGAGGGTTGTCGTTCACATCCACCACCTGCAGGAGCAGAGTGCATTTTCCTGAGAGCCCTCCCCCATCGGTGGCCTTGACATCCACTTCAAAAGAGGGAGTCGTTTCAAAATCGACTTCTTTTCGTAGCCGAATCTCCCCGGTCACAGGATTTACTTCTAACGTTCTGCTGACATCTTCTGCAGGCTGGGAGAGCGCGTACAGTACTTTCCCGTTCTCTCCACTGTCTAAGTCATTGGCAGAGACTGTGACTACCAGGGAGCCCGAGGGGCTGTCCTCGGGGATTCGCACTTGGTACAGCGGCTGCTGAAACTCGGGCGCGTTATCGTTGATGTCCACGACTTCAATGAGAACCCGTGCCATCCCAGACCGGGGAGGAGAGCCGCCATCCAAAGCTGTCAGGGTTAACCTCAGCTCGGGCTCCCTCTCCCGATCCACTTCCTTCTTGAGCACCAGCTCTGGGTACTTCCTGCCGTCACTGCGGTTGCGGGTTACCACCAGGAAATGAGAGTTTGAGCTGAGCTTGTAGCTCTGGATATTGTTGGTTTCTACGTCTGAGTCCAGAGCATTATTTAAGGGGAATGTAGTTTCCAGCGGACTGTTTTCTGGTATCCTCAGGATCATTTCTCTTTCACTGAACACTGGAGAATGGTCGTTTATGTCCTTCACCCTCAGCTCAGCCTGGAAGACCTCTAGAGGGTTTTCCATTAACACTTGGAAGTGTAGGACACAAGGCTCAGTGGGACCACATAGCTCCTCTCGGTCTAGTTTCTCATTTACGAGCAAATCTCCAGACTGAACGTTGAGCTGCAAATACTCTTTGGTTTCCTGGGAAATGACCCGAGCCCGGCGCGTGGCTATCTCTGCCAGTTCCACCCCCAGACCTTTCCCAAGATTTGCCACAAGGGAGCCCCTCTCCGTTTCTTCCTCTATGGAATAGGGACCCAGCTCCGTGCTTGCCCAAGACACATTCAGAAAAACGAAGAAAGCCAGGACTTGCCTTTGTCTCGGATTGTGCATCCTTACAGTCGGTGTTTGCTTCATAGTAGCTCTGCCTTTGCCCAGGATCCTGACAGCGCTCTCTCACAGTCCAGAATGTTAGAATCAAGCCTTCAAAGAGAATATTTAAGGTTTCACACTCGCCTTTGCTTTGGCTGAAAAAAGCCGCACCTTTTGCTTCTAGGTGGCGAGTGACTGGTCCCCGACCAGGAACGAAATTGCTGAAGCAATTCCTATGCTCCGTCTTCTTAGCCTGCAGCGCCACCGCGCGGTCTCACGGAGCCTTACACATTCAGATTCAACCAGAGGCAGAATTCTCCAAGGCTTGTGGAATAAGCCATGTAACGTGAATCACTGGCTTCCTTTTACAAGTTGCTTGCATGTGTGCCAATAAAGCACCGAGGCATTGTATTAAATGAGTACAAAAGTAAGTTATCATTCATGGTGTTGAGTATGGAATGCTGCCGATGTGTCAATAACTAAATAAAATAGTGTAATGAACATTTAACCTGAGAACATGCATTGAGGGGTAATACTGTCTCAAAAATGACATGGGGACAGTTTCATAAGCATGTATTTTCCACTATACACACTTCAAGAGTTACAAATGAGTAGACAGTGCAAAATTTCAACCTAGTGAATTCTACAGACTATAGACATGGTTTATTAAAGAACCAATAGATTCCTTCTTTTCTCCAACATCCAAGGGAAAGAATTTTAACATTTCCCAATGTTCAATTACTAGAAAATTATTTCATACATAGACCTATATGGTCCTGGGTTGATTTCATATTCAGCACGAATAATGTGTTTTTTTCTTTTAATATACATCTTTGGGTTATAACATACTTAAATGCATCCATTTGAAAGTATAAAGTTTAAAGTCTTTTCATACATACATGAAGTGATGCACCCCATAACCAAAGTCAGTTTTGGAGCATGGGTCTCATGCCAAAGAAGAACCTTGAATCTTTTAACTATTACCTTATTATTTCCCTTTTCCTCTGTGCAGAGTCCAAAGGAATCATTAATCTCCTTGCCTGGTCTCTACAGAGTTCCCTATTGTAAACTTCCATATGATCAGAATGACAGAATATTTGGACCTCTATGGTTAGCTTTTTCCCCTTAGCCTAGTGTTTCCAAGGTTCATCCAAATTCTAACACAGGTCAGTATTTTATTGCACTTTCTGCCTAATATTTATTTGTACATTTGAATTATTTCTGTGCTTTTGTTCTTCTGAACAGCATTGGCATGAACATTTATGTGCCTATTTTATGTGGACATATTTTTATTTCTCTAGGAGTTGAATTGTTTGTCACATGATAGCTCTATATTTGCCACCTGAAAAACTGACAGGCTGTTTCCAAAAACAGACGCGGCATTTAAATTTTATCAGCTGTGTGTCAGGGTTCCAATATTATGACATCCTTCCAATACTTATTATCTAACTCTTTTGTCCTAGCCATCTTAGTAGGTATGAGTGTCTTGCTGTGATGTTGATTTGTATTTCTCTGATGAGGTATGTTGCACAGCTTTTCATGTGCTTATTAGCCATTGGTATATCTTCTTTGGAAAATATCTATTCTGGTCTTTGCTTATTTTTAATTGAATTGTCTAGATTCAAATCTAAAAATCTATTTTAAAATAGAGTTTAAACTGTATATTGAAAGACTAGATCATCATTTGTTTAGGTTTTCTGTTTTTAAAATTTGAATTGAGTTGCAGCAAAAGTTCACAATGGGCAGGACAGGAAGTTCAGTTATAGAGTGTGCTTAGCATACATGAGGCTCAGAGTTTGGAATCCAGTACCACACAGATACTGATACTCTAATCAATTCACTGTTTCTGCTAATGGCTCTAGATGTTTGTTAATTGGATTCCTCAGGTCAATGAGACCTAAAATCTTGCTATAATAATCTTTATGTGTCTGTTTTTGACAACAGATGATATTGCTATGCAGAATAATAGCCACTCAAAGATGCCACAGAATCTGTAATTACGTTACCTTACCTGGCAGGAAAATCTATTGCAAACCTGATTAAGTTAAAGATTTTTCTGAACAGGAGATTGCCCTTCATTTTACAAATAGGTCTCATTAAATTTGGATAAAGGACTTTTATTCAAATGTTATTCCCTGGCTGACTTAGAGGGAATTGGAAACAATGTTTCAGGCTGTGAAGTTGGGTAAAGGAGCCATGCAACATTTATTGCATGGAAAAGACAAAATAGATTCTATAGTCTCCAGAACCCAATGTGTCCCCATGGACTGCTGTCAGTTAGACACTTACTAGAATTTTGTTTTATAAAATTATGAGATAATACATTGCGTTGCTTTAAGGAACTGCTTGTGAAATTTTTGACAGCAATAGAAAACCAAACCAGGACATAAATATGAATTATTGTGTATCCAGAAGCTGAACCAACAAACAACTGATAGCTTCCACATGAATAGTATTATTATTGCAAATGCTAAAGAATTTCTTGTTCAGTTCTGCTGAGTCATTCTTTAAAAAGTCATGTATGGCCCACTGGTGTTTTACAGTGTTATCTAAATGAAGACATTAATGGGCATTATTTTCCCAAAGACATAAAGTTAACTGTAAGAGAGAGTAAATGAAAATGTATCATTTTTTTTCCTACGAAATTTCAAGAATCTCTGAGTTACTTAACTACAAAAATTTATCCAGAAAATTGCTTATAGTTTTTTTTTTAAATTAATGTTCAGTTATACTGCTAGAAAACGATTGCTTTCAAACCCACATGATGCTGAAATGAGCATGAGATACTCAACTTTAATAAAGGGCTCACTGTATACAAAGTATATAATATGTTAAGAGTTTGGGGAAGATGGCTGAAGGGAGAGTATACAAAGTTTAATGAACATAACCACAGAGTAGCTCTGCTGCCTGTATAGGACAGGTCACTTCCACAATAATGCCAAAGAGCAGTTGAAGTGTAGTCTAATTTTACTCAGGTCGTTGATGCTGTGAGCACTTTGGGCTTGTCTTCTAACCAGTGTGGTCACTGCTCCAGAATGAAGTACAGACTAGGAGCTGAAGGTTACATTTACACATGATGACTTTATTCACAGAATGGCTCTAATGGATTCCTCTGTGTAGGAAAATAATGCTAACAGAGCCTGCCTGCCACTATATCATACCGTTAAGAACTGGGTCATCAAAATCAGACAAACTGGATTGTATCTTAGACTTTCCCTTTTATTGCCCAGAATCATGAGCGAGTTAGTTAACGTTTCCACAGAGCTTCGCAGCTAGTCCAGATAACTGAGCGAAGAAGGTAGACATGTGATTTCGACCTCTGACCTCCAGCATACAGAGGCACATGGGTGAAAGGACCCCTGCGAGCACATATGCACAAACACGCACACATACATAACCCACACAAACACACAAAGTTAGATTCCCTAGCTTAAAAGTTAAAATAATGACATAGAACAACTTTTATTTCTGAATTAAAAAAAAAGTTTAAAAATTGGCAGCACAGGGGAAAATATGACAACTCCTGAGTCACCAGGGACCTCTGTTAAGTTCATGCCATGCGATTTTAACCCACCATAACTGTCAAAGAGACAACAAGGGCATTTGTGCACACATCATACCCCACATATCCAAGAAAGAACATTGCATTAACGGGTGAATAGCAAGGGGTAGGGATCCCTTCGCAGGTGAGACAGCTCCACTTAGAGTGTTCTTGGAGGTTTGAAGTGGGTATGTCAGTGATAGTCATTACCTGGCACGCATGGACCTCCAGGTTTACTCTCAACTGAAAAGCTTCGGAAGCTGCCTCATTTTTATATCTCACTGCAACTTAGCCATATGTCCAGCACTATTTGCCAAAGAAGACAGTGAAAATGTATGAAAACTAAGTATGCCAGTGGTCAGAATGAAATTTGAAATATGACAGTAAAGAAGGGAAAAATAATAAATATTGGCTGGTGCAGTTTCTTTCCCAGGCAAACATTTCCCAGAAGAGAAAAGTCAATTTTACTGCCATGATATTTCAGCTTACCAGGTAAACAGGGGTGGATTTCTGAACCCTCCTCAACAACAACTAAACAAAGTGGAAAGTGGTTTAAAATGGTGATATTAAAACTAAAAGCAGGCCTCCAGGAGCAGTGGTTCACGGCTGTAATCCCATCACTCAGGGAGGCAGAGGCAGGCAGAGCTCTGTGAGTTCAAGGCCAACCTGATCTACAAAAGGAGTTCAGGACAGCCAAGGATACACAGAAAAACCATGTCTTAAAAAGCAAAAAACAAACAAACAAACAAAACTCCAAATTAACTAACCCAAACTCCAAACTCCAAACTTATCCAAAACTAACAACCAAGCAACCAAACAAACCTAAAAGTAGGCTGATAAAGAGTCATGTGGCTATGGAGTAACATTTTAAGAGAAAACACCAACGAGGAAAGTTAGTCTAGTGGAGTCCAAAGAAACAGAAAGCCTGATGCCTTCAGTGTGCCCTTCTTTTTCCTTTCTGATTAGACTTCATGGGGTTTGAGCATTGCTGTAAAGTGTACGCTCAGTGGTTCACAGCGAGTAACAGAAAACACACTGAACTGCAACTGATTGGGTTGAAATGATTTTATATTTCTTTTCTTGTTCGTTCCTAAGCCATTCTAGAACAAAGGTTTGTACAACTAGTGACTAATTAGAAAGACAAGATTAGAACATTTCACCTTCCAGTCTGGAGAAAAGCTGAGATGCTATCACTAAAGCCATGGACAGAGTATCCTGGAAACAAGCCTTAAGCATGCTTTAAAATTTTATAATGGGCACAGCAAAAAAAGTAGCTTGAGTTTATAACAAAAAACACCACATATGATGAAAAGCAGTTATTTTAACTGAATATCAAAACCCCACTCATTTCTAGAGTTGAGATTTTCTCCCATTTCTGGTCCAAGAGAATGGTCTTGGAAAGGAGGTGAAATTGGTTTCAGGAATTTGAACTCACCAGTCCCAGAGTCTCCCCTTAGACACACCTCATACTGGTAGCTCTGGGACAGGTTTCCTGAGCCGCTGACATTTACTAGGTGGCCAGGAAAGTGTCCCTCAGGCACAGAGCAGACTCCCAGAGAGGCCGCCCTGGCCCTCTTGCACAGCCTCACTCCCACGAACAGCAGCACAGACAAGAGGAAGAGTGAAGACAC